AAAAAACTGAGAGTAAAACCCTGGTTTATTCAAAATTCTGTACAGAGCTTGTGAGGACCAATTCCTGAGAGTAAAATTCCCATTTATTCAAAATACAGCGCTCTTTTATACAGAGCCCCGTGAGGAACAATCCCATTGGACCAATGGAAAAAAAACTGAGAGTAAAACTCTGATTTATTTAAAATACCCCGTTCTTTTATACAGAGCTTGTGAGGACCAAATCCATTGGTCCTGAAGTGAAAACAACTCAACCCATTGGTGTACAGTGCTTGACACACAGCGATAGAACTTAACTATGAACAATGTGAACAACAAGAGAGATAAAGAATTATTTACATTCTTATTTATCTCTTTCCCAGGTTTCTGCCTGGCTAGAAACTCTCCATTTCTCTCTTTGACTGAATCTGAGTCCCACACTTCCCCAGTGAAAATTTTTAGGGAGGAGCTGTCAGGGATGAGTGCAAGGGGCTCTTTGAAGGATTCTGCAGAGGATTTAGGGAGAGCAGGGCTGACAGCTCGAGCTGCAGCAGCCCCTGGCTCCCTTCCAGCCCCAGGCCCTGGAATCCTGACAGGGAGCCAAGGTGGGACGAGGAGCAGCTTCCGGATGAGGCAGAGCTGGGGCTGGTGGGATTTGGGGATTTGGGGTGGTGCTGGCAGGAGGAGCCCCCCAGGGAGGAAGGGGAAGGACACATCCCATTGCTCCTCAGCCAGTGTTCACCTGGAAAAGGGATTACATTCCAGAACAGCAGCTCCTTCTGGAAGAAAAAGTGGATTTTTTTCGGATTTTTTTTTTTTTTGAGCCTTCAAGTGAGAGGTGTTGGGCTCTCTGTGTCTGTTTATGGGTTGTGTAGATCCAGGGTGGAAAAGTGCTGCTCCCACTCTCTGCTCTTAGCCCAGGATTGATCTGACGTGGAGATTTTACTCTCAGATCTCCAGAAGTGCTGGGGATCAGCACCCTGATCTCTCCATGTTGGGATCATCACAGAATCATGGAATGGGTGGGGTTGGAAAGAACCTTAAAACCCATCCTGTTCCACCCTCTGCCCTGGGCAGGGACACCTTCCACTATCCCAGGTGGCTCCAAGCCCTGTCCAGCCTGGCCTGGGACACTTCCAGGGATGGGGAAATTTCTCCCAGCTCCTCTGGGTAACCTGTGCCACCCCCATCCTCACAGGGAAGGAATTCTTCCCAATATCCCATCAAAATCCCCTTCTAGTTCAAACCCCCTTGTCCTCTGTGCCTGTGATCATATGGAAGAATTCCAAAACGATGTATAGCCTTGGAGAACTGAGGTGGTGTGGCAAAAAATACGTTTTATCTTTTATTTCCTGCTGCTTTTTCCTCTCCTCCTTCCCTTTCCCCCGTGCTGCGGCAGGAATGCCACGGATTCCCCCTGGAGAATCCCTCTGATCCCACAGCTCAGGGTGGGCTTTGATGGGCACAGCAAACACTCCAAAGATCAGGATGAGGCAGAATCTGGAAGTTTTAATTCCCACGTGCCTCCCCCTTCCACTGTGCTGGGAGAGATTCCCAGCTGGGTGTGCAAAATCTGCTTTCTGTAGTAAAACAGCAGCAGGTTTGGAGTATCCCAGATGGAAAAACATCCAGGTTTTTCCCTGTGCTGTGGCCTCTGGGAAGGTGGGGAGCAGCAGCAGCACCCATGGGAGAGATGATCCCAGCACTGGGGGTGTCCTGGGCAGAGCCAGGCCCTGGAATCCCTGTGGATTCCTTCCAGCTCAGGATATTCCACAATTCCATAACCGTGACCTTTTAACAGAATGAAACAGGATGGGGGTGGTTTAATTGCAGGAAACGATGCCAGAGTAGGGGCCAAGGAGGTGTAAGGGCCAGAGTTCCCTTCCAGGTGTTCCCTGTGGCTCCAGGTGTTTGGTTGTGCAGGTACAGGGAGGAATTTGTGGCTCAGACAGAACCTTTCAAACCCCAGCCCCTCCCCAGCCTCTCAGCTCATCAGCTCAGCTGGCAACAAATCATTCAACAAATTCGTGCTGGGCCTCTGGCTTAGGGAAATTCTCATTTAAAAACATGAATTCCCAGTATAATGAGGCCACAGAGAGTGGATTGGTTGATGGTTTGGGTTGTTTTTTGTTTTTTTTAAAGAAAAGAATTGGGAGGGGAGGGGGAGAACTGTGTGAAAGCTGGAATGCTGCTGGAAGGGGACTCTGGGGAGGCTTTGCTGTCCCAAACTCACTGTGACAGCAAGACTGGCTGGCCACAGATCCCAGCTCCAGAGTGCAGGGCTGACAGGCAGCACAAAAATCGGGATGAACTCCTCCCTTTTGGGGCTCTGCTGAAGGATTCCCAGTGGGAAAAATGCTCCTTTCACGCACCTTTTAATCCCAAATCCCAGCTTGGCACAAGAGGGGTCTGTGCTCGTGGTAGGCAAGGATCATCCCGGCCCATGAAGCTGGAATACAATGGATAGAAGGATTTTGTTAAATTAGAAAGTGAATTGTTATGATCAGGAACAGAATCCATGGAAAGAGGGAATTTATCAGGAAAAATGGTGTAATAATGGCATGCACCTTTCCCAGGCCAGTTGTACCAATCCAATTATGATGGGACATCTGATTGCTGTCTAATTATGGAATTATATGTTAATCTTGATTTAATGCACTTTTTATCCACAATAATATTATGATACAGTCAGCCCTGTAAAGTGGGAGTGAAGGTGGATTTGTGGGCTGGATTTGGGAGTTTTGCCTCTGTTCCCACTCCGGCAGGCTCCGTGTGTAAAACTTCCTTACAATGCAAGGTTTTGGGAATCGTGAGAGGGGTCATGGTGGGGGCAGGTTTGGCACCAGCCCCTCTTGCATTTTTGGCGTTGCAAGACCAAATTTCTCTTGGAATTCCCTCCCTGTGTCCTGACGAGCTTTCCCTTTCCAAGTGGATCAAACCCTTGGCTTTAGGCTTCATACCAAGAGGCAGAATAAGGAGAGAAGGAGATTATTTAAGATGATTTAAACCCAAAAAGCTGTGGCTGCCTGGATTTGCTCCTTGGCTATTGCAAACAGGCAGGAATCAATTCCTAGGAAAGGCTGGGAAAGGGATCCTTGCAAAACACCAGGAAGCATCCGAGGCATGCAAGGGTAGAAACTCCTTCATTCCTCACTGCAGCCCCTCTGGAGCCCTCGAGGGCTCTTCAATGTCCTTTACTCCGTGTGCTCCTGGCACCTGGCAGTCCCCACATCCTTGGGAAGTGCCTCCAGCCACAGGGAATGATCACTCTTCACATCCCTGGCATGTCCAAGACAAATTGTGACACCAAATTCAACCCCACTTCACTTTCAACCCCTTTCAAATGTGTTTTTAAATCTCTCTTCTGCAGGCTGCCAACCCTCCATACATCCCAAACCCTCCCCTGTTGATGCTGTATCTCTGCCTTGCTTTGATGCCAGGGCTGCTTCTTCCTCCCAAGTCATTTGGTTCATTTATAGCAACCTCCAAGTTCTCCTGCCAGCCCAGAAAAGTGACATTTCTCCTGCAAACACGGGGAGGTTAAAGCTTTAAATCCCAGAATAATTATAAATGGTTTTTGTTGGGAGCATTCCTCCTGGTAACAGATGCAATAAAACATGGTTCTGCTACTGGCCTTGGCCCCGTTCTCTTTTGGAATTCCCAATTAATCAACTTGTTAATGTGGGGTTGAATTCCAAGTGAGACACAGGCGGTGCTTTACAGCTCCTTGGGGTTTTTGGGATCAGCTGGGATGATCCATGCAGAGCTTACCTTGCAGGTTCAGTGCTTAAACACCACCAGATCTAAGCTGGGAACCAACTGGGAACTGGTTCCTTTGGGGTCTGGAGGTTGTCTCCAGCTGGTTCCCGGGGATCTGTGCCCCAGATTGGGAATTTTGGAGGGTGTAAAACAGACTTGGTGGTGCCTCCTGTTTCCCAGGCTTGTCCTGCAGCCTGTCAGCCTGCAGGGTAAGCTCCTATTAGAGATTTTAATCCAGCTCTGGAGTTTGCAGGCGTTGTGGATTGTCCTTCCAACCCTCCACAGCAAGGAGGGAAATGTGAGATAACAGCACACCGGGCTCAGTGAGCCCTCCCCGCCTCCCAGCCCTTCCCTCAGGCTTTTTTTTGGGATTCACCATGAAATATTTCTGCTACAAACCCCGTTCCAGCCCGGCTTGGGTCTGTGCCTCATCAAAGGCGCTGCTTTTGCAGGTGCTGCCTCTCACAGAGGGGATGTGGAAAGCCCTTTTCAAAGCCAGAGAGCTTTGCTAAGCTAAGCTAAGCTTGTTTTTTGGGCTCAGCTTTTCCTGTTTTGAGCTTGAACTTCACATGACTGTAGCGTAAGCAGAAAAAAAACCAGGGAGGCGGGGGGAAAAATCAGCGGGGAAGGTGAAGTTGAATTTTCCGGGTGTTTTGTGGATGAACGTCTGCCTGCTCCTCTCACTGGTCTCCATCCCAGTGGAACATCTGGAGCAAACAGCTGGTTCTGCTTTGCTGCTCTGCAAAAGGTTTTTGTTTTTGTGTTTTTTTTTTTCCTTTTGGTTTGTGCTGGAAGCAAATCTGCCCCCACCCAGCCCCGAGCTGCTTTTCTGTTGGCTACGACCTCATTTGTCACTTCTCCAAGTCAGCCCTAATATAGAGAAATCCCGGTGGCTTTTCCCCACTTGGCCAGGAGAAGATCCACTGCCCATTATGGAGCTGGGTTCCACTCTGCGAGTCTTCCCAGAACCTCTGAGTGCAGTCTCAGGCTGATGAGTGCCCTGGGAAAGGATTTTCTGACATCCCCCGTTTGTCTCTCTTGCAGTGCGTGCTGTATTTATGGAGTTTAAAGATAAACCATCCCAAAACGTTGTTCCTCCTTCGAGGGAACCACGAGTGCAGGCACCTCACAGAATACTTCACCTTCAAGCAGGAATGTAAGTATCAGCAGTGGGAGAAGGATTTGAATCCATTTAAATAATACATTTTAAAATATATATTTAAAAAAAAAAGGTGGTGTGAGAAGGCGTGGGCTTCAACTTTTGTGCCTCTGCATGGCATCAGAGCTGTAAAAAACCTGTTGTCCTGTTTTCCTGCTCTTCTGCTATAAAAAAACCACCCCAAAACCTAAATCTTTTAAGTTCTGCTAAGCACCAAATGTGGCCTTTTGGTTTCAAAGACTGAGCGTGGATGGAAGGAATGGGAACACTTCTCCCCTGATGAGCCAGGCACACACATCCTCCCCTCCCTGACTTCCAGTGCCAAAAACCTTCCAGCTCCAGGCTGTGCAGCTGGGATCAGTGACTGGAGCTGGGAATGGGGGAAGGATTTGCTCCTCCCTCCCTGCACTGGGGAGGATCATTTACCTTTCAGATGGGTTTTTTCAGTGAAAAGATGGGTTTGAGTCTAAATCAGTATTTT